TAATCCAACTTCGTCCAAAGTTCGAACTCGTTAAAAACACATATTGATAGGATTATCAAGGACGAACAAATTGGATCAAATTATTACTGACTATATTAAAAATTGGTAGTTCAAATGGCGGAACATGGCTCTATATGGAAATGGCACTGTGTGATCTAAATCTATACTTCTCTAATTTCAGTTATCAACCTTAAAATGGCCATTGGAGATTTATTTGTAGCTGGAACCGAGACAACATCAACTACTATATTATGGTCTATTTTATATTTTCTACATTATCCACAAGTTTACCAGAAATGCTATAAAGAAATTCAAGATGTTGTAGGATCAGGTCGACTACCGTCTGTAAAAGATAAAGTGAACATGCCCTATTTTGAAGCTTTCAATATGGAGATTCTTCGCCATGTTAACATTGTACTGGTGGGAGTTCCACGTGCTGTCAAAGAAGATACTGTGTATCAAGGTCATTTTATACCCAAAAATGCCATTATTTTGCCAAATGTTGATTCAGTTTTAGCCTCTGATGAAATCTGGGGCGATGCACGTGCTTTCCGTCCTGAACGATTTTTAGATGAAATGGGCCGGGTGATACATCGTGAAGAATGGATTCCATTTTCAATAGGTAAGTCACGCTAGGTTTAGGCTAAAAATTGACTGAAGAAACTTCTAGGGACAATATTATATTATCTATACGTTTGCAACTGATGTAATTTAGAGTGAATGGAAGAGATAATGGTAATAAGATGATTTAATTCAATAAAAAAGGAGTATCAGAAATTATTTCAAATTATTTATAAAAGAATCGGAAATCAACCTTAAAAATCTATGGGAATCAATTTATTCAAATTATATCTTGAAATGGAATCAAACATAAATAATCACATGTAGACACAGCTTTATGGAACAACAATCGCTGTGTCTATATATCGTACTCACAATTGTTAAATGCCATTACATTACATTACATTAAATATTTCAGGTCGTCGAAATTGTTTAGGAGAAGGCTTGGCTAAAATGGAACAGTTTTTGTTTTTGGCAACGTTAGTACAGCGGTTTGATTTCCAAGCTGAAGATCCACAGAATATACCACCATTAAAAGGGAACTATGGAATAACACACGCTCCCATGAAGTATAATGTTCAGTCTATACCCAGATAGACATAATATGTGATATTATATAAGTTTTTTTTAATATTGTGCCTACATCTGGTGTTTTCGCACATAGATATATAGGGCTTCAGGAAATACATCGTATCATAGTCTAGATAAATGTAACACAGATGTTACTTAGTTTGGTTGATTGGACATTTCTGTGTTTTTGTAATTATTTTTAGATGTTCTGAAAGAAGTTTAATATTACCCATTAATAGAATACTTTACGGGACTATTGATTAAAGGCATATTATCCACTCCATTCGGTTTTCCCAGCACAATATGCTTACTGGCGAATTGTGGTAATTTCGCATGGCGAAAATAGCCAAACAGAGCCCTCAGCAGAAAGACTGTAAACAATAC